GATTTTGAATGATTATTGAATTCTAGCAATGAACGTTTACAGCGTGTTTGCTGGTTTATATTTAACTGTACGTTTGATATTTACAACACTGTACGTTGTATATCCAAACGAAATGTCTAATATTTGAATTTATTAAACTATCAAGAGCAAATTTTCATTGGGTCGTAAGCAACAATGTAAACAAAAACGAGATTTCCATGCGATAGGATAGCTAGAGCGTTCATTAATGTGGGTTTAAATTTTCATAGCGATGTTTTGATAATAAACATTAAAATTTGCACATTGAAAAATCAACTTATGCGGCACAACCCTACAACAATACTACTTTGCAACATAGGGCGAGTTTGCCTGTTGTCGGTTTGAGACGTAAGCAACATTAGATTTTTTATGTTTAGCGAATCGACGAAACGAACATGACGTAAGCAACATGATAGCTTAAAAATTACCGAAACCCTCTCAACGTAAGTAACATGTCAGTTTATAATACAGCGTAATGCTTAGATGAAAGTAACGTGCAACCTATCATAATGACTTATGAAATGGTCGTATACACGTTTGATGAAGCAAAACGTCGAATAATCTTATATTTAACAAATCTCATAGTATTATCGAACTTAATATAAATCTTTATCACAATCTTTATCTAATGAAAATTTGCTCTTGTTATGATGTTTTGTTTGCGTTTGCGTTTGCGTAAGCTCATTGAGATAGGTAGTGAACAGGTAAATATAAAAGCACTGCAACAGAAATTGTGGACAAAAACTACTGCTGTACACTGATAACAAAAAAGAAACATTCACATTTACATACAAATCTGAAACACTTATATATTTAAACATCATCATGTAAATGCATGCATAATATGGGCCATCGTTAATCGCTTACTGGCCTTATAATTGAATTATGTAAAATTAAATTTCCCTATAGGGGTGTTTTTGGTCTTTTTTAACCAATGTTATCTCTAGTTCCAATCATCTTTTTCTCATCAAGGGTACAAAAGGGTACAGATAATATTCTATAGATTTTGTGGGCAGAACCACGTTCTTCCAGAATATGCGTAGAAGTTTTGCTCATATTTGCTCCTTTTGGAGGAAAGTGTTCTGGAAAAATTGGCTTTTTTTACACAAAAACAGGAATAACTTTCGTAAAATGACAACTATCAATTCCCACCTCTTCTCAAAAGATGCGTATTCTCATGATCTTGAAGTTCTTTGAAGATGGCTCTCAAAATAAAACAGAAAGAAAAAAGTTAGAGCAAAAAAACTGTTTTTTTTTCAGAACCACCCTATCTGAATTTAGGAAAACGTTCCTAGAATTATGTATTGAAGAGATAGAATTTTGATGTCTTTGGCAAAGTTGCTTGACATTAAATTATCTTTGACTTTGTGCAAGCAAGTATTCTCCTAAAACATATAAATTAAAAGTTATGGTTTTTTATTTTGAAAAAAGAGGACCACCCTAGTCACCACCTACACCAAAAGAAAGATCTTATCTGGTAGATAAACTCTTTCCAAGACATCAAACCCCTAGAGTGCATATTTTTCGAGATATCGGTTTTTGTCGTGAAATTTCGCGTTTTCGGCCATAGTGTGGTGGCGCCACTGAAGCATTGAGCAAGCCACCAAACTTCGAACTTATCAGTGATGCCAGTTCTTTTTCACGTCTAGTTATCAAATGCCAGCTCTTGAAAATGATAAGTGGTCAAGGCATCCCACTGGAGACACATACCACATCTGACGAATACAGAAAAAAAAAGTTGTTGAATATTACATCAAAAGTGCTGCACATTAGTCATTCCGTTTCTAATATTACGCTGTACGATTAACACAGAATTCGAGAACAAATCATGTTGATGACTGTAATATTCTATCAACTTTTGACCCTTTTACCAAATTTTCTTCTAAGATTTATGTCTGTTTGTCTGTGACAAAACTATCAAAGTTGAGCGCTGTTCCGCTCGTTCGTTTCACCGAAGCTTGGAAGAAAGACCAATGAAGCGACGGGAGAAAGAGAGACAAGCGATTGGACATTTGTTTGTGCACGCCGACTGAGGTCTATGTGGAATGCTGCGAAGCTGTTCGACTTTAACAGAAAAAGAAAGCCAGTAGTCTCTTCGTCACATCGATTGGTCGATTGAAGATGTTATTGTGACGCCCTGACGAAGCCGTAAACCTCCCTATCACCAGTCTATAAAACAATATTTCTTCCCGATTAGAGAATGAAAACAAAATGAAAACTAAATCTGATATTTTGATATAAGCGATCGTGATAACATATTTTGCCTACCGTGTATCATGTTTTCTTGATAACAAATCCATATATGGGTATTGATATCAGTTATTTCGTTTATTATTAAACATAATAAGTAATCACAATGTTATCATAACTATGGTAGGAAAGAAAAAACACTAAATTACACATTATTTCGATATCATGATATCAAATATAGTAATCTGAATGTTTTGAAATCTAATGGTTAATATCAAGATTCAAAATCAAACATGTTATCAATAAGTTTTCATCTATTCAATCTAAAAACAAACATATTTAATCAGTTCTATCGATTTGAAAATTCAATTCACAGGTAGATTAATATCAATATTTATTGTAATGTAAAATCACAATTGTCTTTGTGATGTTCATAAAGAAAACAGCAAGCATCCTGATTGACTCGTTAGCAAAAAAATAAAAAATGTAGGTTTCAGTGATAAATCTGGATGCTCTTTTCATAAAATATCAAATTTTGTTTATATATTGTTATGTTTTTTAGAAATATCAAAATTATATCAAAATATGAATTCAACCGAAATTTAAAAAAAAATTACATATCTAAATGTGCTATCAACATGGTTTCAAAAACATAATTTAATATAATTTTGATAGTATTTTGATATTCGACTTTGCTCAGGTTATGTTTTATCTGTTAAAGGTTCTCAATTCATGGCTAATATGATATCTTTGCTACGCTGAACTGACTTTCCATGATAACAAATGGATCAGTTGAGCCGAATTAATGATGTTCCATCAACCAAGAACTCCAACACGGCTTAGCATTGCAATTTGCATTACCATTCATATGCGGTTGAATAATTTCACATCATTATCATACATTGCGAAACCTGCATGCCATGCTAAAATTACCGGGAATTATAAAAAAAAAAATCATAAATTCTAACAACTTTCAAAAGTTCGACAGACCGCAGTGGAACCACCAATCAGGCTTAATCACTGACACTGCCATATAAATTATCCATTGAAAAAGCAATCAACTGCAGTTAAACTCCAATTACCTTTATCGCACACTATCGAACAGGCACCTGTCCATATGTGCGAAACCAGCAGCAGCAGCAGAGTCATGTAAATGTCATGGTTCTCATCTTCTGTCAACCATTGACCCGACTGCCTATGGCTGACCTCAACCAAGCAGCAACTCTGACTAGATGGCTGTCAATCTGGTGTATTGCGGTCAACGTCCGGTTTACACCTCTACCCTCCTCTAACCTTTCCAACACCATCATGTCATCCGCGGCGCGATAGAGTTTTGATCTGTCACTTGAGAAGCATTGACAAAAATATACATACGAGCGGCGGTCACCTGCTGCTGCCGATACTAAGTGGTCAATTTTCTAGACCATGGCTTTCCACTATCCGAATAAGTGGTGATTGCGAATGTTTTCCACCGCGCGCTGGCTGTGTCCGTCGTTATCGTCGTTGGTTTTAGGAAACGAGAAACCAGTTGTGCGTAAAATCTGAACGATATGGAGGGGTAGAATTAGATATCCACTTTCGGATTTCTGATTCTCTGGTGGGAGGTGGCGAGGGGTGATGGGGAAAATTATAATTACTGAAACCGGCTAGCCGGCAGTGGCCTGATTGCTGGTTAATTGAGCCCGATGCCGCCGCATTTTGGAAACGCTATGTGCGGGACCGCTCGAACGGATCCTATTACTGCAGTTGATGAGCGGTTAAGTTGAATATGATGATCAATATAGCTGAGAAGATTGAATCTGATTTTTGATCGGTGATCGGTTGGAATTATGGCTTGAATGTTTGGTCAAATGCGTACTCTTGATTTTTTATGGGATTGGTGAGAAGCAGCAATTTGTTGCCGAAACTGTCCCGGTGTTCACCGAATTATCGTGTGGATAGTATCCATAATTTTTGAATAAGGTAGATGTATTTTTAAAATGCCAGAAACGGGGTTGAACTCTGGTTCTTGGTTTGGCAGGCCATCTGCTGGTGCGACACGACGGGTACCAGGAACGGGCAAATCTACCGGGACGGGTGCCTGCTTCCTCCTGACGATAATAGGAAAAGCTATTACCCTATCCACATTGCGGAAAGTCAAAAGTACATATCACAAACACGTACCATCTTTGTCTATACTCGGAGAAAAAATCCGATTCACAAACTTAATCATCTCACTAGCAAAATCCTAAATGTGAAAAGGCCCATTTCAGTTCTAACGCCCCACCACCGTAAACGCATACAGCCTAATTGGTTACAACAGCCCTCAGCCACCGCATCACACTCTCGAAGCGGGGAGAGGCCATCAGGAACACTCCAAGTGGCATAATCGTCATGCTAATATTGACATTCTAGCCGCAAAATCTAGATCATTAAGCGAGCCTCGTGTCGGTCACATCCCCGCCGCCGGCAACAACTTGTTAGCACCATTCTCCACCACACACATCTGACCATTTCTGTGACCGCAGATTGAAAATCCTACCATTTACACACGCATAATGACCATATTTTGCGCTACGTTCGTCTCTCCAAATGAGTGCATGTTTTCGTTTTCGCTGTTATTTTTTTTTTTTTTGCTCTGCCGCGTCTTGTTAAACTTGAACCACTTCACCAGAAGCCTATGGGTTGCAAAGACGAATTAATCGACGAGGTAATTACTCTCTCCTTAGGCAAGGTCGTAGAGTTGACTCCACTCCGTTGTTGTCAGTCGTTAATATTTCAATTAACCATTTCTTCCCCTCTGTTTCTTGCAGGCCAGTATAACCGTGCTGCAGGCGGTCGTGCGTCGTCACCTTGGCTCGGACATCCCGCACGTGTGGGATCTGTCGCGCAACGTCAGCTTCATCTTGCAGAATGGTCATGCCACCGTGACCTACCCTCGGCCTCTGCTGCCGAACATTGCCGAGATTGCGTGCATCCACTGCAAACCGGCTGAGCCGCTGCCGAAGGACCTGGAAGACTTCATTGCCGGCGCCGGAGAGTCCGGTTTCATCTACGTTTCGATGGGATCCTCGGTCAAGGCCGCCAACATGCCCGATCATCTGCGGAAGCTACTCATCCAAACTTTCTCCCGCCTACCATACCGAGTGCTGTGGAAGTATGAAGCCAACGCATCCATGATGACGGATCTTCCATCGAATGTGAAACTGGGCCGTTGGCTACCGCAGCAGGACATCCTCGGACATAGGAAGTTGCGAGCCTTCGTGACGCACGGTGGCCTGCTCAGTATGTTCGAAACCGTGTTCCACGGAGTGCCAGTCGTGACCATGCCGGTATTCTGTGATCACGATGCCAATGCGGCCAAGGCGGAAACCGATGGCTACGCGCTTCAGCTGGATCTGGAGACGTTGACCAGCGAGCAGTTAGTGCGAGGCATCCACCGGGTGATTCATGATCCCAAATTCCGCAATGAAGCCAAGTAGGGAATCGATTCGAGCATTCGGGTATTTCTGTAATTGAAGAGAGTTTTCAATTTTAGGCGGCGACAGATGCTGCTGAAGGACCAACGGACGACTCCTCTGGAGACGGCGATCTACTGGACCGAGTACGTACTGCGGCACAACGGAGCCTACCACCTGCAGACGCCGGCCAGGAATCTTTCGTAAGTTGTTTGAGCAGAAGTAGTCTTTTTTAAATGACGATTACCGCCTTTGACAAATGGTTTCTGATTTTCTCAAGGATTTCGGAAATCGTTTTGAGTGATTTTGTCAGTCCATCAGACTTTCACCTTTCAATAATTTCACAAAAGAGCAATTCTCGTCGAACCGATTGGAAGTTACGTTTTCGAGTTATAATTTATTGAAACATTTCGCTATTTTGACATATTTTAGCGACCAATTGACGGGTTGAATTTTAGCTCAAATGTGAATAATTGACCAAACAATAATTTTAATGCAAAGTTTCATGTAAATCGAAGAATCTTCCGTCAGATCGAACTGCTCTAAACAGAAATTCAGAGAACTTCTTAGAAGTTAAGGGCAATTTGCAGAAGCTAAGAGAACATCATTTGTTTTCATAGAGCTTCGTAGAAGATTGGGAAACTTCGTAAATTTGCATAGAACATTGTAGGCCTTCATGGAACTTCATAGATTTTCAGGAAATTTCGTAAGAATTTGATAAAACTTCATAGATGTTCCGAAAACTGCGTAGAAGAGCAGCCAATACGAGTTTAGATTAAATTGTAAAAGCTCAGTGAACTGCGTAGATCTTCGGTGATTATCGTAGATGTGTAGAGAATTTCGTAAAACTTCAGTCATTTTGTTTTTTTTTTTATTAATTTATTTATCAAGGCTCAAATGCGGAAGCTTTACGGAGCCGGAATTATTTTTTAATTATTACAAAGTTTCTTAACACTAAAGTTAGTACAAGAGAGGGCCGAATACTCGCGGCTTACTCGAGGCTACGGGTTACAATCTATTACTGGTAGGGAGGGGGCCAAGAGAAGGTGGGGGGGGATGCGGTTTATATATTTATCTCCATGGCCGTTGAATGACTGTTCTTCGTCGACTGACCGTGGAAGATGCACTGTGGTGACGGAGAAGTGCTCTGGATTTTGCTCGGAGTGACTAATGGTTAAAGGCAACTGCAACGAAATACAAAACGAGGGCTTGGGTTGGGACAAAGATGAGAAAGGAGATTTCAACATTGGAATCATCAAACTAATGATGCCCCTCACTGAATCAGACACATTCAATATTTCGAGAATGCCATCCACAATTCCAGAAAACGTGAAACGTGGCTTCATATTGTTCTAGCAGTGAGGGGTTTTATTATCGGAGGCGTGGAGAAACCTGGAAGTCGCGGAAAGTCCCTATCTAAATCAAATGATTTGAAACCCGGTGGAGGGGCTTTCAGAACATTACCGCTACTTCCTGGATTCTGCAAGACGATTCGAGGTTCAATCCGAGAGGCCTCCTGAGGTTGTTGCGTGATAATTTTGGATCGTTTCTTAGGTGGGGCTTTGAAAACGAAATGACTTCCCCCGCCAACATTAGGGTCAGAGCCCTGTTCATCAGGGGAGAAGTTCGAAGGGGTTATTAGACGGGGAGATTCGGGAAGATGGAGTAACTGGATTTTCGCAAAGGACCGATGTGAGCGAGCCTTCAAAGACCGCTGGAGTTTTTCTCCGTGCTGCTTGTATCTTGGACATTTAGGGGTGCTTCTTCCCACATTGATTGCAGCGTGGCTTGTTGCCACAAAAGACCACAGTGCGTCCTAGGGGCTTGCACTTTGAGCAGTTCATAACCTTTGGTACAAACAATTGCATAGGTAGTCGGATCATACCAATTGCAACATAATCTGATAATACTGACCCGACGAAGGTCACAAGAAACGAGTCCGAAAGCGTGTAGATCTTCTTCGTTCCAACTAGGGACACTGAGTGCATTTGAATGCAGTCTAGTATTTTATTTTTTACATCATAGTTCAATGATCTAAAATATCCTACTTCATCGACTTCTACTTTACCGACTCCAAAATTGAATCGAAAAATATATAAACAAAGCTACCAGATCACAGAGCTAACACATGCTTTTTTTAATGAGTCTGATTTGGGAATTGATCCTGGACAGTTGAAGTATGCTGCTGCCGTTTTCTTCGTTCAATCTCACTGGATCACGATTGATCTCATATATAAGGCTAGTTGAAATGGATGAAGTCACAACTCATATTTTCAATGTTTACCTTGCAGAACAAGCAATTCACATCGCGCTGAAATGCAAAAAGCTTCAATTCAATCGGTTTTGAACAGTAGTTTGATTCAATGTGCAATACACTTGAATTGATAGAGAAAGATTATCAACATTTCAATGTTTGAAACACTAGAAATCAACGTGTAGAACACATTGAACCATGGTGAAATACCAGGGGGAACGACACTCATTTGGATGTATTTTTTCAGTCTAGTAATTACTTAGGATTTTCGAGGAAAAACATAATTGATGGGATTTTTTTGAGTGTGTCATGTTGACGAAAATAGAGCAGGGATAGAAAAAATAGATGGGAATAGATCAGGCAATTGATGTGATGTGAGGGGTGTTAAAAAATTTCAGAGGGATACGAGTCTGAACGCGAAGAGGATAGGTGTAAAAAGAAGAAAAATTTGCTGCAATGAAGCGTCCATGAATTACGTAACGCTTATAGGGGGAGAGGGAGTCACCTATATCGTTACGAATTATACATAGGGGAGGAGTAGTAAAGCTTTGCGTTACGTAACTAAGAGAACATTTTGTTTTTTTTTTTTTTTCGTTTCTTGATGTAAAGTTTGAAAATACAACGACAACGAAGGCTGTCATCACTAAATCTTGCTTTGAAAAATGGATCTGTTTTAATTTTATAAATTGAGATTTTTGCTATCCTTGAACTTTTGAAAAGCAGGTACTCCGCGGAATTAATGGACACCACTCGGGACACCGCCCAACTATAATAACCAAAGCTCACAGCTCAAGTGCAGAAAACGGTTCCGCACCGAATAGGTCGAAACTGCAGTGTAGGAGGAACGGGTGATGGCGATGGATTACAAGGCTCCGGTTAATATTCCCAGCTGTATTTGGACGGGAATTTGATTCGCAATATTCTCGCACAGAAATACATCAACCGGTGGGTGTCTTACTTCACCATTAGCTCTTGCTTATCCGAACCCTTGACCAGCAGCAGAGACGAGTAAAACTTGGGCCGAGTGGAAAAAATGACCTGAATCCCTTTTCCAACTGCTTGTCGTAGGGGGTTTCATTGGTAAGGCTTTTCCCGGGGCTAGAATCAGCAGTTCGAACGAAATCAACAGAGTTGCTTCGCGCCTGTTCGGCAACTTCCATGCTACAATACACAGAGACCCGGGCTCTTATCCGTCGAATTCGATCGGTTTGAGTCCGGGAAATGGATGTGCGTTGCCGTCTCTTCCGTGATGCACTTGATGTTTTTTGTCCCCGAGACCGATTATAGACGAGTGGTCCGTTATCTTTTTTTAGTTTCCGAAACCGATTTTTTACCGGCATGGCCAGCTGACATACGTGGTGTTTGTTGTGGAAAATCTTGTTAACTGACAGTGAGTATCGCAGTGCTTCGCAGTCGACCTGAAAACTTTGAAAAACTGCACGGCTTGCTTGGCAATTTGTGTGCATGCAGAAGGGATAAGTTGGGAATAGAAAGAATAGATAGGATGGATTGAAATTTTGTGCACGTTGAAAATTATATGAGAGGTTTGGGTAAAAATGGGATAATCCTGAAGTGTCGTTCCCCCTGTGAAATACTTTTAAAATAAATGTGATTGTGCACAGGCATGGAAAATCATTTGCATTCATTTCGTGCATTCATTTACATTCATTTGCCTCTAACTTTTTTCTTCAACAGCATTCCGCAAAATGATGTATAGAGCTTTTGTAGGTTTTGTTATTAACTACAATTTTTGTCTGAAAATCAAATCCGTATCTCTTATGCATGACGAACCAGAGCGAACAGAAGCCACTACTGTTTTTCAGTGAATGTATTTTACATTCACTGAAAAACAGTAACAAGTTCTGCCCGCTCTAGTTCGTGATACATAAGAGATACAGATTTAAGTTATGACCAAAACTTGTAGCTAATAATAAAACCTACAAAAGCTCTATACATCATTTTGCGGAATGCTGTTGATGAAAAAAGTTAGAGACAAATGAATGTAAATGAAGGTATGAAATAAATGCAAATGATTTTCCATGCCTGATTGTGCATATGAATAATAAAGTCACCGACAAACCGACATGACACTTAATTCTGACTTTTGCCCGAAAATCGTAAACGGCCTATTTAAATGTGCAGTGATCCGAACTGTCAAAACCATAGGATTTTTTTATCTAGATAAAAATTATTCGTCCAGAATAGATCAGACACGAACCAATTCAAAACTTTTGCATGTGGGTTCATGGCTTAGCTAAATATTTCCTGAGAACACGGAGCCAGACGTCAGTAGTGTGCTTTGGTTAGAAATTTTATTATTTTTGCTATGGTCATTCATGTCGGTTTGTCGGTGACAAAGTGTTTAAGCACTTCGATCAGATGTGTGGAATTTTTTAAGTGTAGGAATAAACGAAAACGACATACAGTTTGGAGTGTGTAACTTCGTCAAATATGGTCCGATTTTAGTTATTCTAAAAACATTCGACTGGACAAATAATATAGTTTTATGGTGTAGCCACGAAAATAACCATGTTGACCGGACACAGGAGATATTCACGGATTCTGGAGGGCTTGCCTAACTTGCTAAATTTGTGATAAGATTTTTTGTCGGAAGCCGAATAAAAACCTATGTTTTAGAGAATGCACAGAAAGCAGAACTATTTTTTAAAGCGACTGATATGGCAAGAACTAAAATCGGCCTATAATCAACCGAGGAATCGGCTATTCCTTGGAATCGGTTCTGATGGAGGGTTCTGAATTCGGTCAGATCTTTTAATCAATTTCGATCGACTTTAAAAACATCATTAACCACATTGGTCTCTCTCGGAACCACTGTCTTAGCAACCGTGTCTGCATCGATCGAAGCAATCTTACCAATGTTGATGTCCGAATTCTCGCCTCCTGTCCTACGTTGATTTCCCGTCGTTGGACGACACGTTCTTTCAATGT